GTTAATCAATTTTGTATTGTTTTGCTTTAGACTCCACCATTGATCCTGCATCATTGGAGGGAGGGCAATTTACCAACTAATGCGAAATGTTACGTATGTAAAAAGACTTGTGGCAGCTCAGAATGTCTGGTCAGCAAAAGATGTGAATGGTGTGGCATTACTGTAAGTACCGGTAACCACTATTCGCATAGTAATTGTTACCATTCATGATAAATACCATAAATGACAGAGATGTGTTTATGATCAAAATAAGTCATATTTCAATGATCCACTATGTAAGATGTACTTCTAATATAGCAAAAACAGTGAAGCAGAGTTGTATACAAAATTGATCCAATTATCTTGCCAAATTAGCATTTCACCATCATCTTTGGTATATTCACAATATTCAAGATAGTTTCAAATCATTAAAATATTATGCTTGGACTTGACCGACAAAAGATGTCAACCCAAATGCCAGACTAATGATGTGGCCAAAGCTACTGGCAAAGTTTCGATGTACTGTATATACTGTCAGTACTTGAATTTGCATGTTGAAAAAGTCGAGAGAGTGACTCTTAATTTCAGGGACTGTCACCCGGCCAGCACACTAAATGTAAAATGTGAATGCTTTACATAGGCTCATACTGGATGTTATCGTCAAATATCTCCCGAGTGTAACTATGGACCACTGCGAGATCTCATACTGTTTCCACATGCAGTGTCTATGCCCAAGACTAACTACTCTGTCAAAGAAATGTCCAAGACTGCAGGTTAGTCTTTTGTTAAAGAAAACATTTTATAACTCATATTTGTTAAGTTGCCCTGTATGTTGGAACAATGGTGGTGTCAAAGTGACTTTTGTGAATCAAATTGTGACACGTGTACCAGGGTCACTGTAACTTTTGAGAATCAAATCGTAATATCTGGAACAGTCACAGTGACTTGATCAAATGGTAACGTATTGAACAGTCGCAGTGATTTTAGTGAATCAAATCGTGACACGTGGAACAGTGGTAGAAGTCACAGTGACTTTAGTGAATCAAATTGTAACACATGGAACAGTGGTAGAAGTCACAGTGACTTTAGTGAATCAAATCGTAACATGTGGAACAGTGGTAGAAGTCACAGTGACTTTAGTGAATCAAATCGTGACACGTGGAACAGTGGTAGAAGTCACAGTGACTTTAGTGAATCAAATTGTAACACATGGAACAGTGGTAGAAGTCACAATGACTTTAGTGAATCAAATCGTAACACATGGAACAGTGGTAGAAGTCACAGTGACTTTAGTGAATCAAATTGTAACACATGGAACAGTGGTAGAAGTCACAGTGACTTTAGTGAATCAAATCGTAACACATGGAACAGTGGTAGAAGTCACAGTGACTTTAGTGAATCAAATCGTAACACATGGAACAGTGGTAGAAGTCACAGTGACTTTAGTGAATCAAATCGTAACACTGGAACAGTGGTAGAAGTCACAGTGACTTTAGTGAATCAAATCGTAACACATGGAACAGTGGTAGAAGTCACAGTGACTTTAGTGAATCAAATCGTAACACGTGGAACAGTGGTAGAAGTCACAGTGACTTTAGTGAATCAAATTGTGACACGTGGAACAGTGGTAGAAGTCACAGTGACTTTAGTGAATCAAATTGTAACACATGGAACGGTGGTAGAAGTCACAGTGACTTTAGTGAATCAAA